CTGAATCAATTGAAATGAAATTTCTAATAAGTATACACATTTATTTGTAAAATGATTCACAATTTGCTATTACCAAATCTCTAGCGATGGAAATTTTTTTCCCCCGCCAGATGATTGGTTGTTAGGTAGGTACTTTATTTGCGTCACACTAGAGCTGCACAATGGGCTATTGTCGACGGTCTGGGAAGCATCCCTAAGGATGATCTGAAGACAAGCTATCTCAATTTTGATCCTCTGCACTGGGGATGGCTCCACTGCTTTGGCAGCCCGACGATCTGAGTGCGAAGTTGAGCACTTTACGGTAGAACAGTTGAACGAGGACCGACAACCTCGGTCCATACGTAGGCCGATCAAAGTGGTCACCCACCCGCTTACTGACAGCAGCCAGGGATGCTTGACTTCAGTGTTCTACTGGGAACCGTGTCTTTATGATCAGTCCAGTGCGGGACCCCTAGATGATTGGTATAATATGGGAAAGAATCTGCAATAAAAAACACTGTTTTAGCAAAACTCTTGTGTTCACTTGTGTTCACTTGTGACTAAAATACTTGTGTAGTTGGTCTGAAAAATGTAGACCATCAGATTTTATTGCATCCAATTGGGGGCAAGAGAAAAGATATGACGAACTTGTTGAAACTCATTTCTGCTATTAAACACGAGTATTATAAAACTACATGGACAAATCAACACGATTGGAGCTTAAATACAGCAAATGAAGAAGACATAATTCATATTGATGATGAATCCATTTAAACAAAGTCATACTCGAAATAATATGTATCAGTAATAAAACAATTATTCATTTTTGCTAAAATCTTTAATGAAGCATTTATTTTATATAATAAAGTTCTTCCGGAATAAAAAGAAAAAATTATATGAAGACTGAATTTGAATTAATAATTTTCTTTTACTTGCCAAAGTGATTAACTTCCTTAATCAAGAAAAAATTTAAGTAATAATTAACAATTACTCTAAGGATATTCTATCTTGTACCTTCCATATGTTGTTAGATAAAAAACGCATGCGCAGTAATGCAGTCTGCTTCGTATTTTTTAATTTTTAATTTAAGAACAATGTTGAAAAACAATATATATACTATTTTATCAATTTACTCAACTTCCATTTTTNTTCTGTCAGGTATTTTAAAAATATTACTTTTTATTTTGAATTTTTAATTTTTAATTTAAGAACAATGTTGAAAAACAATATATATACTATTTTATCAATTTACTCAACTTCCATTTTTATGGAGTTAATTGATTTGGTAAGTGAAGCATTCATACAAAAATCTTATGGATTTGAAATCATTCTATTGTTGTTCCATTAAGCTAAAGTTGTTAACAGGAAAAAAAATCCACTTAATATATATGTAAATGTATACTTTTACTTTTTCATCAGTGCTCTTATTTGTTACTGTTAAATATCAAGTCGAGTGTGTTAATGTTTGAATTACAACTGATCCTGATCTTAATATAACAATGAAAAGTGGCACTGCTTATTTTTTTGTTGTTGAAAAAAGAGACTTCTACATTTCACTTTATGGGTGAGCTTTTAAATTTATTGCCTTCGTGAATATTTTTTAGCATATTTTTCGAGTTTCTTTCTTTTTTTACGACTTGCTAAAGTGGTGCCCCAGGTTGCGTTAGGTGCTTTACGAGCTCTTGAAGCATGAAGTAGAAGTGAATATGTTTTTTAAGACTTTAGTGGTTAAAAAAGATTTTTCTTTGTAATTTCTTTTTAACTATGTATTACTTAGTATGATTTGAAAAAAACTCATACAAGAGAAATGATTTTTTAAAATCATAAGAGATAATCTTAATGAGATATTAATATCCGCAAAATTTCACACTGATAGTTCATAAAGATAGATTTATTAGGAGATAAACATTTTTGAATGGATAAAAAAAGTATTACCAGATGTTCAAGAGATTGTTGGTATTATTTTTGGAACATCTTGTGCTTTTGTCGCAATCTTTTTTCAGAGCCGGGAAGAGTTAGTAAAAATACAGCTTAAATGTTTATTTTATAACCTTACTAATTTAATGAAAAGTCATAAATGCTTGAGCATTTTAAGAGTACTAAGAGGAAAAAAAATAAAGTTTTATTATGTCAAATGACTAATTAAGTAACTAATTAAGTAGGTTGACTAATTAAGTAAAGTTCTCGCATAAACACTCGAGTGTTGGCAAATGAGGTGATGAAGGTTAAAACACAATAATTTTGAGACAGTGCGTACCATCCACTTTTATGTGGATTCTCAAGCTACTGCTGGAGATAGAGCTCCAGTTCTACACATTAAACCTCAATACTTTAACCACTGTGCCGTTGAAGCTCAGGTTAGTTCAGGAAAATTAATACTTCATTTTATGTAAGTTTCCATAGCTATTTTGGCACTTGATAGTTTAAATGTTTCTGTAATATCCATGGATGACATTTGATTTATTTTGGACATAATATACATTTTTATTCACGTAGATTTTGTTAAAATTTTATTACCCTTGATGATGTATGGTATGGATCGGGTACATAGGTGCGGTGTTATGTGCTGGTGGCGTATGTATCAGAAATGACTATACTTTTGCAATTGTTTTTTAGGTATTTTTTTTACAGTAATGTTTAGATGAAGTATTTAACTGGCATTCTGGTGGCGCAGTTAATTAAGGCGTCGTTCAAATGGCTGATGGAGATCTGGTGTTGGTGAGTTTGATCCTGGCTACCGACGAAACAACCGGTATGCATTACACAGCAAATCTGTCGTGGCTCAAAGTCCTCTAGTTTTGAAAGAGAGGGTTACCAGCTCAAGTGCTTTAATCGTTGTCTGACAGAGGTCAAAATATCGTGGCATTTCTACTATGGTCGTTGAAAGATAGAGCACGGAAAAACTGAGCTAGATGCTGGGTCATGGTTTGGAGCTATATAACTCGAGCTATGGGAGCTATATAACTCGAGCATGCTATTTTTCGTTCTTGGTTAGGGCTTGTCAAATTGAAATAAAACTTCGCCTAGATGAAGAAAAAGAATAATTTAAAAAAAATTTATAAATTAGTAAGCATTTAAATTTATAAATTTACGTCAATTTATGGAGTATTAATTTAAAATGTTCAGAAATGATATTCTTCCAGAATGAAAAAAATTTCTTTAATGTTATTGGTGACAGGTATCTTTTAAATTCGAATTTCAGAAATGTAATGCCATAATTAGGCATTACATATTTTCTACCTTTTAAATTCTTATCATTTTTTAAAATCATTCTTAACCGAATTTTAATATAAATCAAACCGATTATTTAATTTTTATTATATTTTATAAAAAGCTAATGTAAATATTTTATTCTTTTCTTAGCAATCAAAATAGCGGCTTACTATTTCAATCAAAACAAATGTAAAATTCCTTAGTTCACTGTCACGGCTAAATAGATAACAGAAGCAGTTTATAATTTTTTATTTCATTGGTATAAAACTATCGACTATGTCAACTTTCATCCATCTAAAGGTATCTATTGATTAAATCAGGTTAACATGCATTATATACTAATAAATTGGTATTTAATATTGTGTTTGTAGTGGTTGCGCCCCTTCCAAAATTTTATCTGTGATAAAATTCGATGAGCGATTACCACTAGTTGATTAATGCTGATTATTACTTTTTCTCTCTCATTTTTTTCTCCTTTATTTACTTATTGGCCGGGAGAATTGTATTTACTTCACCGGATATTAGAGCGCTACTTTGTGAGTAAATCAACTGTCTAATGTGGAGTATCCATCGATGTTGGCGAGTTCATATTCCATCCGGGGGTCACCGATAAGGGGATGTAATTATCGACTGCGTCAACTTTCACCTATCTAAATAACATGTGTTATACATTAGTAAATTGGTATTTAACATTTGTAGTGGTAGTTATGCCCTAATTTCTGACCTCAAAAATATTTCAATTCCATGATTATGCTAATTCTCACAGTCTTTCGGCGATTAGCCATAGCCAAATTATTTCTAAATTTAATATCGAATACTGGGCTTTTTTTGTTGTTTATTTTATCTTCCGATATATCTCCACCCTTGAATCTCTTCCTTTTCTCCTAACTGTCCGTTGGGAACAATTCACTTACTTTAAATTTTTAATTCTTAGCATAAGGACTGGGGACTTAGACCCTCTGCCCGAGCGCTAAACAACGGTTTTTCTTGATCCATTTAAGAGACTTTCTTTCTTTACATTATAATTTTGGAATGTAGCGATGTTCATTATAATATAATACATCAATTTTTCCTGAACGATTTTATGTATTTTTCTGCGATAAATAATGGCGATCGAAATGGGCGGCAGGTGGCGTAGAGCAGAACTCCCTACCTATGGCAACACTTCTCATGCTTTCCTCAGTAGCGTGTGGAGAGTCATAGAGGAAGGAAGTACGTTAGTTTCTCTTTTGATTTTCATATAGATTAAAATCTTTTAAGTTGGAAAACTATATGGAACTGAAAACTACATTAAACATAGTTCTAAAGAAAATCATTACGGAAATTTAAAAAATATTTTTATTAAATAAAAAGGAAAATTATTAAGAAAAGGGAAAATATCGTAGTACATTCCTATACAACTGAAAAGAGGAGGAGAGGGAAGGGAGAAGGGCTAAAGGCATGAAACCGGTCTCTCCCCAGATNTGTTTAAGACTACAATGATGCTACTTCCATTCCACTAACCACTAAATTGGACTGACCACCCCCATCATAAAAAAACAAAAACAAAACAGAAGTTTAACGGTTCAGAAGGATTAATAATTAATAATTTGTTCCATGATGAATTGATTTTAATTAAGGTCGAACAAGAGTCTCTCCAGGGCGAACACGTGTTCTCAATCGGAAAAGTTCCTGTAACATTAGAACTAATTAAACCTCTCCTAATTATTCAGTGCACCACGCTTGGCAACTATGCCACTGTTCTGTCAGGTATATGCATATTTCGTTATTATTAATTTTGTTTAATCTCTTCTGCTTGTGATTTGCAGGCATGCGGACATCCATGGATAATGCTACTACAGTTGAGATCGCCAATTCTCTCGTACCTTTGAATGAATTAGCCAGGAAGACTGTTCAAGATCTGGATCCAGAGAATGATTTGGTATTTTTCAGAATTCGAACTATGAAGAATGAAATGATGATTGGTGTTGGTAAGAACAAGTTTTTACAAATGTAACATTTTGTCTCATTTTTGTTTTATTATCATTTTTGACATCATATGCAGTTTTGTGTAGAAGTACTGGGATAATTGAATGGTATAATTTATAGGGTTTCGTTTGAGTTTCTTTATTTTTCATGGTATCATAGGTCTAGTATGCTTTAATCATACAGTAATTTTTTTTTAAGTTTATACCAAAGGGCTATCCTAATTTCCTCAGCATTTCTATTCTACGAATCTGTTTGGAAAATTATTTACTTGAATTTACGTAAAATGTTCGATGTTTATTATTTGCATATGCAACTGAGCAAATATTTGAAAATCCTAAAGTAATTTCAGATGAAGTTAAATTTACATCCTCCAGCGATAAATAATCAAATTTTGATATTATATAAAAAAATCTATAATTGAATATAAACGCAAAAATATGTTGAAGGGGACACACACATTCGTGACACGGGAGAGATTTAAACACGTTCGTCGACTATTTTACAAATTTGTTTGATAGTTAAGATTTCGTTAGAAAAGGCAAAACTGCGAGATAAAATACACCACTATGCATTCAAAACAAATAAGAATATCAATTTTTAAATTGATCAGACTTTTAGAAGTTTGAAGAATTTATATCGAAGGAACTCAAATTTGATAACATTCTGTTCAACAACATAATTCTGCCAATATATAATCTACAAAATAGTTTCTATTTCATTCTTTATTATTCTTTTCATTTGCATATGTTGTATCATTTATATGTTCTCTCTTCTCTTTGTTTTTAGGGGAAGACAATCTTTACATTGTAATTCAAGATGCACGTTTTATTCGAACTCCTCTGTCTGCTCAATAGATGTGTTTAGTTTTAATCATAAGCAAGTGAATCAAATATATTTCTTTCTTATACAATTCATAGATATGACGAGCAATTTTAATTCACAAACATGGATAATTTTTTGCTTGTTGTGTTTTATTTTAAATATGAAAATTTATTGAATAAATATGGACAGATAAACTATTTTGATTCCTTTATTTACAGTCTCTAAAAAAGTGACCCTGTTTAATAGCAATTGCTTGTTTTGAATTGTTTTTAGAGACGAATTTACCTAATTATGCATAAGTGAATAATTTTAAAATATTTAATTGTAAGGGAGATTTACTTTTAAATATAAGGGAGATGGAGCTACTGTGGGCAGTTGGAACATTTTTGTTATTTACACTTAAAAGTTCTACGTGAGTTTTAGGGGATTGGCAATACTTTTCTTCTATAGTAGAGTCCCGATTAACCGAGTTAATGTGGACCACGACTAACTCGGATAACCGAAAAACTCGGTTGAAGCGAAGAGTATAAAACGAAAAGAAAAAGAGGTATAAATGTAATATAATTAACAAATACAAAACTTATACGAGTACACCACGTACAATTCCTATTATAATTTAAAAGCTCACTTAAAAACACTTAAAGAGCATACTTTACGGGAATTAAATAGTTTTTACTTAAAAAAGTTCTTAATCGTTTTTTTGTTTTGTTTTACATTACTTCGGCACTTTTTTGCAGCAAAGTTTCGCCATTTTTTTAGGCTGAAAGGAAGGCTTTCGTCGCCTCTTCTTGTTGTTCTATGTATCCAATAGCACTTTCGATGGCTTTTAGTCCATCTGTATGAGATATTTTTATATGTTGATTTTCATCGTCACTGTCATCTACGCTAGATTCATTTTCATTAGTGACGATATTAACGATCATTTATCGGTAATCTCGTATCAGCTTGTTCTCCTAAGTGTTTGGAAGATAAAATTCGGAATTTTTTTCAGCCGTAGTTTTAAAAATAAAATAGAAAGTTAAAATAATAAAAAAGTTTTGAAAATAAAATTCTCGTAAAGTATGTTCTTTAAGTGTTTTTCAGTAAGCTTTTTAATTATAATAGTAATTGTATGCTGTGTGTACTAGTATAAATTTTGTATTTGTTAAATATATTACATTTATACCTACTCTTTTTCCTTTCTTTTTTATACTCTTTTGTTTTTACCGAGTTTTTCAGTTATCCGAGAGAGTCGTGTTTCACATTAACTCGGTTAATCGAGTCTCTACTGTAGTTTATTTTGCATTGTTTTTAGAGANCGAAAAAAAAAGTTTGTTTCAATTAATTTGCACAAGGGTGTATATATCCAATAGCACTTTCGATGGCTTTTAGTCCATCTGTATGAGAGATTTTTATGTGATGATTTTCATCGTCACTGCCTTCATCATCTACGCTAGATTAATTTTCATTAGTGACAATATTAACGATCATTTATCGGTAATCTCGTGTTGTCCGTCAACTTGTTTTTTGAGTGTTTGGAAGATAAAATTCGGAATTTTTTCAGCCGTAGTTTTAAAAAGAAAATAGAAAGTTAAAATAATAAAAAAGTTTTGAAAATAAAATTCTCGTAAAGTATGTTCTTTAAGCGTTTTTCAGTAAACTTTTTGTAATTGTATGCTGTGTACTAGTATAAATTTTGTATTTGTTAAATATATTACATTTATACCTACTCTTTTTCCTTTCTTTTTTATACTCTTTTGTTTTTACCGAGTTTTTCAGTTATCCGAGAGAGTCGTGTTTCACATTAACTCGGTTAATCGAGTCTCTACTGTAGTTTATTTTGCATTGTTTTTAGAGAAGAATTTACCTAATGATGCATAAGTGAATACTTTTAAAATATTTAATTGTAAGGGAGATTTACTTTAACTCGGTTAATCGAATTTCTACTGTAGTTAATTTTGCATTGTTTTTAGAGAAGAATTTACCTAACGATGCATAAGTGAATACTTTTAAAATATTTAATTGCAAGGGAGATTTACTTTAACTCGGTTAATCGAGTCTCTACTGTAGTTTGTTTTGCACTGTTTTTAGAGAAGAATTTACCTAATGATGCATAAGTGAATGCTTTTAAAATATTTAATTGCAAGGGAGATTTACTTTAACTCGGTTAATCGAGTCTCTACTGTAGTTTGTTTTGCATTGTTTTTAGAGAAGAATGTACCTAATGATGCATAAGTGAATACTTTTAAAATATTTAATTGCAAGGGAGATTTACTTTAACTCGGTTAAACGAGTCTCTACTGTAGTTTGTTTTGCATTGTTTTTAGAGAAGAATGTACCTAACGATGCATAAGTGAATACTGTTAAAGTACTTAATTGTAAGGGAGATTTACTTTTAAACGTAAGGGAGATGGAGCTACTGTTGGCAGCTGGAATATTTTTGTCATTTACACTTAAAAATTCTCCGCGAATTCTAAGGGATTGACAATATTTTACTTAGATTTCATAATCACCTGCACGACTTGTTTGCTAAATAACAAATTAAAAACAAGGTGCTCATGATGAGAAAGTAAACTCGTAATTTATTTTTTAATTTTCGTTTATGGCATATTTTATTCATTGTAATACTAGGGTATATTATGCTGTAAATGATTACCTTCAGAACACATTATAATATTAACTTTTGATTTGCCTTTTTTTTTAAATTAACCGATAATGCATTTTGATGAATAGGGCCAGTACGGAGATATGGCTGTGTGATTACTGTGGGTAGATTAATCATTTACTAAATTATTTCAGTACTTAATTGATTTACAAATTGATCACTTGAGAGTTTTATTCATTAAATTCGATTAGCAATTTCACAGTAGGAAATTTAAAAAAAAATAATGCTTTAAAACATTTTAAAGATTTTTTGATTCAAAATATTAATTACCTATAGAATTTTATTTAATTTTTAATATGAACTTCCCAAATTCGATTTATTAATGTCTCTCTCTCTGAGGTGACATATGTGCAATCTTTAACACTAGAAAGACTCAAATACCTATATTGCCCAAAAGCAATCAAAATTACTGCAATGTGAAAGAATAACTAATGTATAAAAAAATTTGTTTAAAATTAAATTTCAATATTTTTAATATTATTTTCAGTTATATAACAAGTTATTAGTAAATATCAACAATAAAAATAATATAAAAGTCACAAAATTGTGTCATTATATACATAATTATTTTTTTAATTGAAATTAAAAAGCAGTCAAAATGCCTTTCTTGGGCAATCTATAGTGTTAACAAACAACCTTATGAAATGAAAACCAAATTCGACTCTAATAATAATAAACTATAATTTTTTTAGTTAATAAATTTTAAAAATAGATTTTAAATATAGCTTCTCTCTTAACTAACATTTTTTTACATGGTTGGAATTTGGTTTGCATTCACTTTTTAATTATATATTAAGCCTTGATATATTAAGACTCTTGAATATATTAAGACTCTTGAATATATTAAGACTCTTGAATATATTAAGCCTCTTGAAAACCCGAATTAATTACCAACGTAGTCGATAGTACCTGTTGTTACAGATATCAACTACATATACTTAATGCAAAATTCCTCTACTATGTAGAGTAACTATTTATATTGATCCAATGTTCTAATTGTCCAAAGGGCGATGCTTTTCTCTAATTTGTATTCGCGATTCACAATAATGAAGTAGTTAAATTTTAATTCTAGACAATTAATATTCTAAAAGTGAAGATATTTTAAAACTATATACTAATAGGGTTAAAATAATTGTAGCTCTGTGTTACTAGTTCGCCCAAAATAATAGTAAAAATATTTGTGTCATAAGTAATTACTTTCGAGAATTACAATAATGATCGTTTTAAATCTCTAAAAAATTGAACTGAACCTTACCTAAATCTTGTTCTTGACTATGTTGAAAAAAAGAAGGTGTTTCTCTTGAATAAAAATTAATTTTCTGGAATTAGTATTGGGAAAGCAGAAATAAAGCTTTGTACTAAGCTTCAATTCAGGGGAGTTAAAAGGAGACAGATGTAATACTGTGTTATTTTGTCTGCCAAAAAAACAAAAATGATTAGAAACAGTAATATCTGAGTCACGGTGGGATGGTTGAGGGAATAGAGCGTTTGCCTCCCAATGAAGTGAATCGGGTTCGAATCGCAGCAGTGCCTGGTTGATACGAATTCTTCTTCCAACTCGCACCGCTCACAGTGATGACGTAAAAATATCCTCAGTGGTAGACGGATCATGGGTTCGAATTCCTTTGCAGTCAGACTAACCGTTGGGTATTTTTCTCTCTATGTAATGTAAATGCAGGCTTGTTCCATCAAGAAGTCTTCCACGAAGGCTAGTTAGTCCCAATGCTTGATCCAGGAGTTCCCTATCTTCTGCTTTGTGTTGAAAATTACATGGCTATGGAGTTGAACATTAACAGTCGTAAACTCAGAATCGGGTAGGCTGTTTCAAGCTGCTTATGAAATAAAAAGTAAGACAGTAATATTACAAATACTAATTTACGGTAATCTCATACTGACTACTTAATGACTAAAGTACCTTTTTTTACCAACAGCGCAGGGTAAAGTTGATAGTTTTTAATAATCAGGACCTCGAACAGCTTTTTTGTTTTATTGAGTCTTTTTCGAATGTGGTTATCCTTTCAGACTCGAAGGCGACACTTTGCTCGATTGAATCTATGCATTGCCCTTCCACTTGCGACGTTCTAAATTGTCAGGATGCGATGCGTAAACTTCACCAATTTGGTAAAACTGCAGCCTTACAATGGATTCCCGGGCACTGTGATATTGCAGGAAATGAGAGGGCTGATGCTTTGGCAGAGAGAGGCACATGAATTCTCCAGGCTCTTAGTAGCACAGTCCCCTATTCAACTTTGAAAAGGATTGTTAGATCAAAAATCAATGGGGATTTCCATCACCAATTACACAGGCCTGCGATGAAAAAAATACAAGGGGTCTGATAGCTGAACTTAATGTATTTTTTGGTGCTGAAATGGAAAATAATAATGAAAAATGTCCATCACGTCACGTTTTTTAGAAAAATTCAATTTTACTAAAATTTTTATGAACATTTACCATAAAAAAATTTCCAGTTTTGAATTTCTTCCCTTTTTGATGGACCAGCATTCTATTTTGGTCAAATCTACAAAAGTACCTCTCTATCACTACTTCCTGTCA